CACACCTGGAAACACATCTTCTTTTGATACAACGATGGAGAACTATGGGTAAGGACTGCTGCATATGCTTTCATACTTCCTTGCCTACTCTAGTTTTGCTTATCTGTTTTTCTTTGTTAAAGAAAGGGTTCAATTTGGAGGATTGGGTTAATCAAGTAAAGTAAATATGGAGAAATGAAATGTGGTGTGAAAAACAGAAGGCATCCAACTTAAATTAAAGCAAATTGTATACTAGAGGCATCATGGCACAATGGATACGGCTGACCCTATAGTTAGAAAGACCTGGGTTGAAGTGCTCTCTCTGACATACTATCTATATGGTCATGGTGAGTCACTCAACCCCTTCAGGGCCTCCAAACAATTCTCTCAAACTACAAATTGCAGAGAGGCAGCTCATCACAGGTTGGGGGAGAATGAGAGGAACAAAGAGACAATACATATATCTACCCCCTACATGTATGATGTCAGAGATTAAAAGGTGATAGCTGTCCAAATTCTTTGCAAAATGAGTCACCTAAACTGTGGAGCAATGTCATTTAATGCACCTGGCTGTATTAAATCACCTAGGACTCTGGCTTTGGGTAAACGACTCTACCTGAAAAGACAGAAAGGACCTGGTGATAAATGAACAGGCTGAATATACGATCAACAGATATTTTTGGATGGCTTTGGTTAAAAAAGACTCATGGCCTTAGAAAACTAGGTATGATAGATAAGTTACCATGATCCTATAATCATATGAGGCTACAAAATAATTCTGTGGCTTTTTCTTTCTCACAATAAAAAAGTTCCAGGGATACTGAAGAGGTTAGTATCCATGTAGCCAATGTTTCACACCATCTACAATCTACGGGATCACTATTAACAGAATAATGATCCTGAATAATCAATGAAAGATTAAATTATGCTTTAAGAAGGCACTGAAGTTATACGGCAAGTTGTTAAAGTTATTTTAGGTTTTTCAAAAGCTGAGTAAAATACTCAGGCACTAAAATTTAACTCTTAGTTTTCAAAATGTCAGCCATCAGAATTAATTTCTGGAAGGCTCCACAGATGACTAAGACTCTTTTTTTAACTGTTATTTGCATTTTTTTTCCTACTAATCCTAAACAGAAGTTTTTATTTTTACTTTCACATTGTCTGAACAACGAGCAACTCTTTGACCTTCTTAAAAGATGAATAAAATACCTCTTCAGATTCAGGAGCGGCTTGGGAATCAGCCATCTCCTCTAATTCATCTTCAGCCACATAGTCTTGCTCTTGCATTCCTTGCGGCCCACCATAAGACTGCATGTATTCTTCATCCTAATAGCCATTAAAGAGAAAAGTTTTTCTCACGCATCTTTTTTTTTTAAACACGTTATCATCACGAATCATGCTGTCATTCCAGTAAACTTTTCGGGGGATAATGTACTTGGAGCCAAGCTCAAGCAGTGTAACTGCAATGCCGACGTAGCAAAAGAGAGGAATATCATGCTGCCTAAATACTGAGTTTCGAATTAATATTATAGCTTTTACATCCAGACTACCCTGTTTAACAATTCATGTTTTTTCTTCCATGTCCAATGCTAAGGGAAAGAGTCAGTTCTTTCTATTTAAACAAAAGCATCTGTGTGCTATCAGAGAGAAATGAAAAAAAAATTAAGACAACTAGAGGTCAACTTTCAATTGCCTGTATAAATATAATCCAAGTCTACAAATTCAATTCTGTTCAACAAGCATTCATTAAAAGCCTACTATGTGCAAAGTTTTATGCCCATTTTAGCCATTAGTTTCAACTCACATTCTCCCTTTTTTTTTTATCAGAACTGATAATTATACAAACAAAATGGGCATATTTTACTTGTACTCTTTTCTATCTGCCCTTTCACATTCCCTGGGGTGGTGAATCTCTTTGGTATCCCTAGCCACTCTTCAATGAACAGCAAAATGACATAAACGTAGATAACAGGAGAGAAAAGGTAAAAAATCTAAATAAGATGTTAACTAAGCAATCAGTCCTTGAATAACTGAGAACTAGTTCTATCTAATACTGGTCATAGTCCTGTTATTCAACATTGAAAATAAATGTACTTGATGTAACAGAATTCTTCCTTCTATCTCCAGGACTGCTTCACAGTTTTTCATTTTCCTTTTCACTTTCCAAAAAATACTAACGTCATCCAATTAATCACAATGGATACCACTAGATGTTACTCATGACTAGTGCTATCGCAGGACTGCAACTAAATCCAGACTATGAACTATGTAAAATTAAATTTTTAACCAAAGACATAAAGGAATATAGTTCAATTAACTGGGTGCTCCACAAATACAACACAATAAAATAAAAATCCAATACTCTCTACATCTAAAATGTCACATACAGTTCATTTGTTTTCCTGAAATATCATGCTAATATCAATTGAGGTCCTAAATAAATTTCATGTGCAAAAGATCAGAAAACCTAACCACCATGCCCATTTACTAATAAATGTAATTACTACACCTATTCCACAAAAAACCAAAAGATAAATTATAAGTCACAAATTGATTCTGATTAATAGTAGACCCAAACTTTTGCAAATTTTGATGATCTTGTGCCTCCATCTTGTCCTAAATGCTTGGTGTCAAGCTTCTCCTGATTTTATGGCCCCCAGAACTTGGCAAATGTCTAAAATAAACAACACTTCAGTAGCAGAACCAACACTGTTTTTGTCATGCAAACCATACCTAATGATGGCATCATTTAATAGAAAAAAAACTATTATTAATTTTCTTTATTACTATAAGACAGTACTTCACACACACACCCTTCCCCAACCAGGTTATTTCCATTGCTAAGCAGTGCACATATTTCACTCCTAAGTCTGGTATACTATCATGAACTTCCATACCAAAAAAAAAAAACAGAAAGTCCATTTTTAAAAAAATTACAATGTACATAAAATTAAAATCAAAATGTTAGGGTACTCTGAGGTTAATCTGAAAGAATCAGCTAAATCAGCTAAATTGCCTGACACTTCAAATTTTATTATTTTACATAGGATCTTATGACAATTTTATTGCCAAGACTTCAGATCTTATGCTAAAATAATTCACCTTATATAAATTCCTTTTACAGCAAACTCTGTTGGGATGCAGGTGAGAAAGTTATACTAAATTTGAGAATTCTGTCTTTCCCTGAAGAGAATTACAGAATTTTAGAGCTGGAAATGGACCGTAGATATTATCTACATAGGTTTTTAACCTAGGCATGTGGAACGAGTTTGGGAGAAGGGAAGAAAGTCAGTGAATTTGGTTGGGAAAAAACTTGATTTTTATTTTTACTAACCTCTAATTGACACTTAGCATTTCCTTCAATTTTGAATGTAGACGAGAAACGCTATTCTGAGAAGGGGTCTACAGGCTTGCCCAGACCCAAAAAAAAAAGGTTATGGTTAAGAATCATTGGTCTAGCATAACTCCCTCATTTTACAGACGAAGAAACTCAGTCAAATCGTCACTAAATAAAAATAATTTAGCACATTAAACAGATCTCAGAGTTAAAATCACAGCTCTCTTCCTTCTTCCAATTAAGAAAACAATTAAAAAGGATGCACTCCACAAGGTACTTTGGATACTCCTACCACAGTTTCTAAACTCCAATCCAGGAGCTATGACTACAGGTACAGAAAAAAAATCAAGGCTAGCTTCCTTTAGGTACTCAGGAAAGGGAAAAGGTGTCTTGATGACAGTGGCAGAGCTAGATGGTCAATGACAGAAGAGGAGTAAGCCATATGGAAAGCTGACTAGTCAGGAGGAGTTCTGAAGCAGAGATTGGGGCGGGGGGAGGGGGAACAGAGAGAAGGTAAAGGAATCAATCATCATAAAACCAAAAAGAGATCCAGATGCCCAGAAAATGATATTGCAGATGATCCCACCACCCTGAAGAGCAATCCTACTTCCTTTCCCTCTACCCATCATCCCTCATTCATCAGCAACAACCTCTTACTCCCTCAAACAACCAATCTGACTATCCCCACTATCACTACTCTATCATCTTTTCCCTTTCTCCCTTCCCCTCCTCAATGCATACCCAGCTAACATTTTGGGGTTTCATCATTAAAACAACCATTGTGTAAAGACAGGTAAACCTTAATACATGCAGGTGTTCACATTAAGAGTCAAAAATTAAATAATTATTCAAAATATATAGGCTATACCACCTTGACACAATAAAATTACCCATAATTTCTTTTAAAACTCAGGTTAGGCCTAAACAATTCTAATTCAATACTATCGGAAGACATAGGAATGGACTAAATGACCACTTCTGCAGTACCTGAAATAAGTAAAATTCTATTACAAATATGATCATTGTTTTTCACATTAAACTTCATATAACTGTTTATTTAGACATTTCTCCCTTGAAACCTCACTAAGACATATGATATGAACAGAAAAAACCACCAGTATTTCTTTTCCCAAAATTAAAATCAACACAATCTCTGCCACCTTGATTACAGATAACAAATTATGTGTGTGACATTCTCTAAACTAACCTCCGATCACTTTATTCTGTTTTAGACAGTTCTCAGTTACAAAAAAGATGAATGAGCAGGACATCAATCACTTTGGAATATTAGCACCTTAAAGATGTCTTTAGCAGGTCAATAATCTTTTCACCTTCGAAGGACTTTATCAGATCTTGTCTAAAGCCTGGATAAAAGCTTTTGCATTAAGTACTTCTAACAATTGGCAGTGTATCTCCACCACACAAAGCTGTTTTCTTCCTTATGGACACAATCCTCAAGGTCATGATTCTCAGCAGCTTTCCAGAATGACAAAGAAGCATTACCTACCGGCAAACAAGCTGTCAACACAAACTTTGTCATAGCCTAGATAAAGAAACTGGCAGACAGTGATAATAGGTCTAATTTCCCTCTCTCCCAAGGGAAGTAAATAGATTTCAAATCAGTCTAAAAACCTATGCAAGGAAAGAAATGTTATCTTTGGAGGTACAAAAGAAAAAGACTCACTGGAAATTCATCTAGAGGTTCATTGATTTCAATGTCTAGCACTTCATCATTGTCAATTTCTTCCTCCCCCTGTTCTTCAACATATTCTATTTGGTCTTCTGTCAACTCAGCATCATGGCCTTCATACTGCTCTTCTTCAGTATAGTCTTGAGGATACAATTCAGATCCATCAGATTTGTGATAAATCATTTCATCCTCTCCTTGTTCATATTCCGATTCATGTTCTACAGATTGATCATTAGTATTGTCGGAGAGTTCAAATGATGTAACCATGCCAGATGTAGTGTTAAGACTAATTGTGACACCCTGAGAACTAGAGTGGACAAACATACACAAAATGAACCTTAGACACTAACACAAAAATCTTATCAATTATTTGTTACAAAGATTTAAACCATAGCTAGTGAGAATTTAATACAATGAATATGCAAATGATTAATATTTCCTTAAGCAATGACCTAAAATAACGTTTTACACATTTTATAATTCATTTCAATAAACCCATCTCTCTCTCTCTCTCTCTCTCTCTCTCTCTCTCTCTCTCTCCCTTCCCCTCCCCCCCTCTCTGTTTATCATTGATCAAGATAATCAAATCAACCAGAAGGCAAAAATCCTTAGTGGTAGCTGGAAAAACTAAATGCAATTTCAACTTTTCAGAATAAAAACTCAGGAAAACTGTTGGAACTATATCTGTTTTCAAGTGTTTTTGAAATTTAAAACTATATACACATATATTCTATTAACAGAAATAAACATTTTTATTTTAAATGCTTCTGACTATAATTTTTTAAACGTAGGATTTACATAGTAACTAATTCTCTATTATAATGTATCTATTATTACAAACTTTCAAGTGTTTTAGAACTTACCTATAATAAAAGGAATTTCTGAGCATGTCCAAAGTTAAAAATAGTAAGATAATCTTCAGCCCAGAAAATCAGTTCATTTCATTCAACATTGTGATGAGAAAATTATTACAAGCACAAAATAATCATTTTATGCAAAGAATCATGAAAGATAAACATCAAGTAATTAAGGCAGGGAAAAAAAGCAAATTTCAAATTCAAAAAATCCTATAAATAAGTCAATACTTTAAAAATATGAATAACTTTAACTCACATGATGACCTGACATACCACTTAAACAATGAAAATTCTGACAACAGAAAAATTCAGAGAAAAAGTAACTTGGCTTGAAAAAACACAACATGTTAATACTCAAGCAATCAGTTAAGTATGGTTTAAAATACACTCATGATGACAAAAATTAACAAAAACACAGAGGACTATAACAAATTCCAGATTTACTCTTCTATATTAGGAACTGAACATCAAATTCCTTCCCAAAGATTTTCCTTTAAAAATTTAATAACAAGGCAGTAAATAATCAATTACTCATTTCACTAAAGCATACTAATAATTCAATTTCTCATAGATACTTAGAAAGTATTTCAACAAATTAAAAAAGGAGATTCCAAGATAACAAGGACCATAATAAAACAAATTACGAATCCAAAGGAACATTTCCAAAATGTTCATTCTTGAAATAAAACTAAGATAATGAACAAAGGCGTTAAAAGAGAATCACCATAGTTCATTAGCCACAATTTACATTAAACGGTTATAACAATAGTATTTTACATATATTTTTTAAAATTTCATAAATTTATTGATCCTCATTCAATATCCCAAAAAAGCAACTCAACATGACAATTTCATTAGTTTTTTAAAATAATACTTTAGATGTAATATATAGACATGAATATACATAGACTATACATATACGTTAGAGAATATATAAATAAAAAAATGATCATCTAGACACAATCATCTGAACAAATCCTTCAAATATAGTTTTAAGTATATAAATACATGTCATGCAGTTTTAAGTATATAATGTATGTATACATACAAACACATATAATCTTTTCTTCATTCAAGCTAAACGAAAATGTAGAAAACTAAGTTTAGTAAGGTACCTGAAATTTAGTTCATCTTCATTATCGCTCTGCAAAAGATCATCATTCAGTTCTTCATCTGACAAGTCTGACTGATTCTGGACGGAAAATTTTTTATTAATATTTGTCCTTTCTATAAAGAAATATTACAAGAATGACCAATTTATAATAATTACATTGTTCTTAATTTTTTGCAATTAAAACATGGCATCTAGGTATATAAATCGCAGGACCACTGATTTAGAATTGAAGTCATCAGGTCTAATCCCTTCATTTTAAGCATGAGGAAATGAGACCCTTATTTTCAGTCAAGTAACTTTCCCAAGAACACTAAGTGGCAGTGCTTGAATAACATAAACCCAGGACCTCTGATATCAGATCTAGCGCACTTTTCACAGCATGAAAATACCTCTATATAGTATGCCAGCTAGACAAATGCCTAGACAAATTTCTAAGTTTCAGAGAAAGCTAAAAATTGAGACATTAAGTTGGAATTCAAACCTATTCAAAAATTATTATCCCATGTACAAGAAACTGCCTACTCACTTGGGATACAAAAACAAATGAAACAGTCCTTGTTCTTATTATGCTTTAATTTTTACTTAAGAGACTAAGCACATACACAAATACATGTGGCACAACCTAACTTGAAGGAGGGGAGGAGAGAGTTTGGAAAGTGGTGGAGAAAAACAAGGAGATTAAGAAAGCTTACAGGAAGTTGTACTTGATAGGTGAGCCTAAAAGGGAGATAAGGATTCTAAAACACGGTGAGGTGATCAGGAAAGTATATTTCAGGACTGTGTGAGGCAATAATATAAATGGGGCTGAAAAAGCCAGTTGAAGCCAGATTTGGAGTGTCTTAAATAACAGGCAGTAACCCAATGTTTTTGAAAAGGGAAATGCCCTTAAGATTATTTTGTAACATTGTGGAAGACAGATTATAGATGGGAAAAACTTGAAACAGAGAAATCAAATAACAAGTTATTTAAATAGTCCAGCCAAGAATGATAAGGATCTGAACTAGGATAGTAACTGTATGACTGGAGAGGGTTCCAAAGATTACACAAGTAGAAGACAAGACTAAGCAAATGGTTGTTATGAGGTAAGAACTCAATTGTTTTGGAACATCTCTAACATTCAGGAGTTTTACCCTCCTTATCTGTTGCCTTCTTCCATTTGTATTAGAACGATTTCCCATCAAAATGTTCAGAATATATTACAAAAGAGATTGTCTGTGAATATTCAGAAAAGAAGGCAATGTTCACTCAAAGCCAGCATGGGTTCATCAGGAGCAAATTATGCAAGATGATACTAATTTCATTTTTTGACAAGGTTACTACATCGATAAGGTATAGTCCTTAGAAACTGAAGAAGAGGGTGAGGAAAAAAGACAAAGATAATAAGGAACTGAAGATATGAACATGAGTAACTGGAAAAATGATGATCCCCTCAAAAGAAATAGGTTAAGTTTCAGGGAGATAAGAATATTTGTTTTGGGATCCCGAACATTTGAGTTTAGGATGCCAACAGAACATACAGTAAACAGTTCAAGATATAGGAAGAAGCAGGATTCACAAGAAGGATCAGGGTCCATTTGAGAGTCAAATGTGCAAAGCTGGATATTTTATAACTCCTTGTTCACCCAGTTCCAAATCTATATGCTATCACACATGAGGATAAAGATATTCATTTTGCCTGAAAGTATGGTACAGTGAAAGACATTGTCAAATGCTTTGCTGGGGTTTTTCAATATCAAAGGAATATCCCTTATCATTCTAGTAACCTTTTCAAAAAATGAAGTTAGTTAATACTCCAAATTTAGTTTTACAAATAGTTTTTCATGAAGGCATGTTTTATATACATTATTACAGTATGACTTGAGGGGGTTTGTTTTGTTTAGGGGAAAGGGGGTCCAGATCTGTGATTTCATCAGGGTAGGGAGCTCCCAGTGACTGAACTCCCTTTAACAACCCTTTAACAAATTAGGTAATTGTTCTGTAACTCAGAGTACTGAGCTCTCTATGACACAAAGGAGGAGATCAATGACCTGCCCAGAATCACACAGCTATCATGGAGCAAAGATACCTTTCTGACTCCAAGGTCAACCCTCTATTCTTACAGCACACTGATTCTCATTATTTAAAAGAAGCTAAACTTCAAGGACTCATTTTCAAAAAGAACACTTGTTTCTTACCTTTTTGCCAGACAGCAAATCTTCTCCAAGCAAATCATCTTCAAGTTCACTGGGAAAAAATGGCAAGTCAATAATCTATTTCTAGAAATAACAAAACACTATAGTTTCTATTATATAAACCAGCATCATGTAATAAGACAACCACTGGCTCTATGGGTTATACAAAGGTTCTGGTTTTATAATGCTAATTTAGATATATTTTCTTCCCTTGCCTTTCACCTCTCCTCCAATAATAAGTATAGGCACAGGTAGGGGCACATGTATGTATATATACACACACAAATGTATATGTACATGTATATGTATATGTATATACACACACCCCTACATATGTGTGTATAAAGTCTGTTAGATATATATGTATACTAATACACATAATAAATGGCGATTGACTGACTTGTTGATATACATATAAAATGTATAGTCCCACATTTTAGGGAGGGGATAGGTAGCATTATAGTATAATACAAAAATTAACAAGCTAGGAATCAGTTTTCCTCCTAGTCCTGGCTCTGTGCAATAGAATAAATTTAGGCAAGTTATTCTTGGTCACAGGTTCCACATACATAAAATGAGGGCAGTGACTAGATCACCTATCTCTAAGATTCTAACATGGAAAGGTAAGAGCTGCTCATTTTTGCCTACATCTTCACTAACTGAAAACTGTAAACAAAAACAAACAAAACAACAACAAAAAACATTCTGTGAACTTTTCAAAAAATGAAATATTTAAGATAGAGTATTTAAACAGTATTAATCAAGATTATCCTCTCAGAAATACATATATACACACATATGTGCATATATATTTTATATACGTGTGTGTGTGTGTGTGTGTGTGTGTGTGTGTGTGGAGAGAGAGAAAATATGAGATGATTTTTTTTTTTTTGGAGTAAGGAGAGACACTGTCACCTGGGGAGATCCTTATGTGTGTAAAGCACTGGGCCCGGAGTCAGGAAGACAAGTTCAAATCTATCCTGAGACTGGGCAAGTCATTTAATGTCTGTTTGCCTCAGTCTCCTCAAATGTAAAATGGGCATAATAACAGTGACTACTTCTAGGCTTATTGTGAAGATCAAATAAGATAATATTTGTAAATTACTTGGCATAGTATGCCTGGTACACAAAAGGAAATTAAATGTTTTTTTATTCTTTTCCACTCACAACAAAAAGCACAAATTAACTCAAATAGATCAGAGGAATATGCAGGGAAAAAGTAAGGTATAATAAGACTGGAGAGGTAGGAGGTGGCCAGGTTGTAAAGGTCAGACGGATGCTATAGGAAGAGTAATTTGACTGATAGTCCAGTGCAGGATGGACTAGAGCTGGGAGAGACTAGAAGAAGGGAAACCAACTAGGCTATTGCAACAGTTTGGAGAGGAAGAGATGAGGACTTGCACCAAGATGGTGGCAGTATCAGAAGAGAAAGAAGGGAGCAAGATAATGTTAAGAAGACAAAACATTGTGTATGTTAAGAAAGTAAAATTGACAGAAATTGGCACTAGATTGGATATGGGTCGTGAAAGTGAAGAGTCACAGAAAATACTTAGGTTATGAGTCTGGGTGACTAGGAGGACAGGGAGGTTTTAAGAGGAAATATAATTAGTTCAGTTTGGGGCATGTCTATGGGACACTCAGTTTGAGATGCCTAATATGAAGTTGGTGTTACAAGTTAGGAGGTTAAATCTGGATACGTAGATCTGAGAATCATCAGTACAGAGATGATAACTGAATCCACAGAAGCTGATAAAAATCATCAAGAAAAACAGTATAGTGGGAGAAGAGAAGAGGGACCAGGATGGAATACTTGGGGATACCTACTTTTAGCAGGCATGACCTGGACAAAGATCCAGCAAAGTAGGCTGAGAAGGAGCATTCAGATAAGTAGGAAAACCAGGATACAGTAGTATCACAAAAACCTAGTAAGAAGAAGGTAGAAAGGGGGTAACTCACAGTCGCAAAAGCTGTAGAGGTTTAAAAAAGATGAGGATTCAAAAGGCTATTAGATTTTTGGTAACCAAGAAATTATTGGTAACTTTGGGTAAAGCAGTTTCAGTTGCATGAGGTTGCAAGCCACACTGAAGAGAGTTAAAAAGAGAACAAGAGGAAAGGAAGTGGAGGCATTGGTTATAAACAGTCTCCACAAAGAGTTTAGTCTCAAAAAGGAGAAGAGATGGAACAATAGCTAGCAAGAATGAATCAAGTTAGAGCTTTCTGAGGATAAAGGAGACATGGACATGTTTGTATGCAGTAGGGTGGCAGCCAGTAGACAAGGAAAGATTAAAGATGATTGAGAGGGTGAGGATGATGAAGGGGGTAATCTGCTTGAGATGGAATGGAATGTGATCCCTTGTGCATATAGACAGGGTTAGCCATAGTAAGGATGAGGGCCACTTCTTCATGACAGCATGGGAGGGAGGAGACAGTGGCAGAAAACATCTGGGTGATGTGAGATCAGGAGAAGAAAAGAGGGAGAGCTCAGAAAATGGCCTCAATTTTTTCAGTAAAATATGTGGTAAGATTCTCAGCTGAGAAGAAGGAAAAAAGATGGGAAATGTGAAGAGGGATAAAAAGGGCTGAGAGAGCAGCTGCGGTGAGTGGGATAATTAGTTAATTAGGGAAGTGTAAAAAAACTGCCTTGCCATAGTGAGAACCCAGGTGAAATTAAGTAGTATTTTGTAGTGGACACAATCACACAGTTTCATGATTTTCTCCAGCTTCATTCAACAAAACATGTGTAGGAGGCAAAGGCAGTGGTTAGTGGAAGTGACCAAAGCCTCACACTTGGAAGAGCAAAATCATTGATACAATAAGAGGACAAAGGACTCAAGAGGAAGGCATAGAGTCAAAATAATTCATTAAGGGTAAATATGGGGAAGTGAAGAAAGTGTAGTTACTGCAGAAGTGATAGCTTGAGAAGGAGTCATCGAATAATTGTAGGTCCCAATGAGAACAAAAAATAGGGTTTGGGCTTGCAAGGAAGAAAGAAAAGTAAAATGACAATAGACTATGAACAGATAAGAGAATTTCCAGAGTTCACAGATAGAAATGGTACATTTGTGGATGATGGCAAGATCAAGAGTATGACCAACCATCTTTGTGGGTGGCTAAAGTAGGTTGCAGAAGTAGTTCATGTGAGATAAGTAAGCTGAGGAACTGTGAGATGAGGGCATTTGAGAGAATAACAAATATGTATATCAAAGTCTCCTAGTATAAAGACAGAAGTCGGAAAAAGAGAATGTGAGCCAGGCACTGAACTCAAAAGGAAGTGTCCTTGAGGACACTGTCCTAGCAGACAACTATCAGGATTCTGATTGGGTGGTAGATAAAGATTAAATGAACCAACATACTTGAGGCCTTTCTTAGTGCTCTGAAGGATTTGTTTTGTTTGTTTAAATACCCCAGGGAGCATTAATGCAGAACTTGGGCTATTCATCCATTAACCCCCACCATGAATCTATGAATGGCACACCTCCTTTTGTAATCATACAAATCTTCAACGATGCCTTTTTTGAACAGATTGAGGATGGCTTTGAATGCCAGGTTAAAGAGTGTAGCCTTTACTTGGTAGGTGATAAGGAATCACTGAAAGGTTTGAATAATAGTGATAAACTCCTATCTATGCATAAGGAAGAAAAGTTTCTAGATGCCACTGAAGTAGAAGAAATAGGAAAACCTACTAAGACCACTTTTTGTTGTAGCAAAGAACTAAAAACAAAGTAGATGCCTACTGACTGGAGCTAAATAATATGTAGAACATAAATAAAATACAATACTACTTCACAATAAGAAACAATAGATATGAAGATTACAGGAAGGTCTGAGAAGACATAAAAGGAAACAAAGTAACATAAAAACAGACAGGAAAACAGTATAACAATTTTTTTAAAAAATCAAAACTGAGGAGCATTAATATAATGACCTAGAATGGCACCAATGGAGAAGCTTAAGAATTTACTTTCCTCCATCCTCTGCAGAAACAGAACACAGCATGTACTGTTGGCTTTAGTTGAGCAACTGGTTGATTTTACTAAATTGATTTCTTTATCTTTCTTTTTTTATTTACTATAGGGGCTCTAGACAGAGGGAAAACAAGGGATATATTGCGAAATGAAGGAAATGTAATAACAATAAGCATCAATAAAAGCTTAGGAATAAAGAGGAAATGACACTGTCCAAATGAGTGGCTATGGCAATAATAACATGAATAAAAAAGGTGGATCTTGATCAATACTCCAGATGTAGAATTGATAGAATTTGGTGGGTGGTTGGATATGAGGTGGAGAATAAAAGGTAGGGCCAAGATTTTAACAACAGGAGTATGGTGAGTAAAAAGAGCAGGTATGGGTGAGTTAAAACAGTGAAGAAAGTACAGCAACCAATTTCTAGAAAAAGAGAGTAAACCTAGTTTTAAATACATAAAACATGAAATGTGAGTGAGGAATCCAAGTCAAAATGTGCTATAGGCAGTTGCAGGATGCAGGTCTTAACCCCAGAAAAAAAAGATCCAATAAGGATGTCATTTACATAAATCTGAGAGTTTAAATTATAGAAATTAACAAGAACAAAAAAAAGGGAGGGGGAAGACAAAGAAATAGGAAAGGAGGAAAAGAAAAAAAAAGACTATCCCAGGAAGAGGTAATGGTTAATAGTGCCAAACAGCATCTTTCTAAAAATTTGTCATGTTGTTTGACTTTTGAGAATATGGACAAACCTAGGGGTTTAAAAAAAAAAGGTGAACAAAAAGGCTTTTTTAGGATTGAGTTAATTCATAAAAGAGAAGGAACGTCTTCTGACAAGATGGTAGAGCAAGTGGCAAAGACTCCGCCCAGTTCTCCTGCACCACCTCAAAATGACAAATAGCCCCAAACCAAAGAATGATGATGACAACAATAAAAAAGGGGGGGGGGAGAATATGCCAAGTAAATTTGACAAAAGACTGATAAATGATAAGAAATTTCCAATGAAATGAATGAACATAATTTTAAAAAACAGAGATAAAAGCCCAACAAAGAGAAATCAAGGCTGGAATAATATTCCCTCAAGAAC